GGGAGTGGAGTGGAAGGAGCTTTCCCAGAATTGACGGAAGCTGGGAGGATATCAGCCCTGGGTGATTCTTTCAAGCCTAAAACCCCACCCTGCCTACAGAGAGCCTCCTCGGGTTGTCTCAGCTGGATCAGGGCTATCCCCACTGGGGATGGCCTAGATATCTCTGTCCTGAAATTACCTGGGTGCCCTGACTTCCTTAATCATGAGTCCACAGTTGCCACCTCCACTTCCCCTTAGCACCAGCATGAGGCTGAGCCAATAGGACCCCAGTGAGTGGCATTTAATGGAGAGGACGCCCTGTTGCTGATAATCACAGGCCTTTGCTGCCGTCAGGGATGAGGCAGGCAGCTCTTGCCAGCTGCGAGGCTCAGCCATTTCCTTTATGAAATCCTTTAATTTTCTCCTTCAGGATGCTCAAAGGGCCTCGCCTTCTCTTTTCTGGGATATCTTTTGCCACATTTATTTTCTACTTAATTATGAACCTCATGTCACATCAGAACTTGAAGGAAGGCTGAATTGTTTATTTAAGGCAGCCATTTCTGGGGTCCTCCTAGCCCAGGGTCCCTGGCCTTGCTGGTGTGGTTGGAGACTCTCTGTTGTGTTGTGATTCACCAAGGTCACACTGGTACCATTTCTTACGGTTTTGACATCTAGCTGGGGCATGGGTTGAGACATAGTGAGTGTCTTCACCTTGCCCAGAGCCCCCTTTGGTTATGGTTTATGGTTCCCATGGCAACATCCAAGGACACCCGCCCTTGGTGACTCCCAACAGTAACTGCCTCTCAAAACCATGGCCATTGCTGTCTTTCTCTCATTATTAATTGAAATATTGAGAGCCAGTTCTTTGTGTGGGCACCAGGCAGCAGTTTGCCACATCCAGTTGGCTCTCTGTAGGGGTCATGGTGCCTTTCCTTGTAGCCGAAACCCTGAGGTTAATTAGAGGTTCACACAATATGATCTGATCCCGAGGTCCCTACAGAGGTGAAACTCTTGCCAACACGCAAGCCAATCAGTTGCAGACTCTTATCATTGGAGCCCTACTCTGCAGTGCCTTTTCTGGTGGGAAGTGTTTGTCTGTAAGGTACTTTGTTTGTTTCTTTCTGTCTCTGTCTCTTTCTCTCTCAATGGCAACCAGCAATGGAGTTTTCATGACAAATGTTCAGATTAATTAGGAGCCAGATTTATGAACATGGCTAAGAAGGGGCCCAGCCTTCTCTGCCTGCTCTGCTTTTCTAATTCAGTCCATGTTTATTTTTAAGCACAAATACCAAAATGTCTCCTGACAAATGAGATGTGAAATGAATGAGTTTTGCACATAAATTTTTAGTGCAAATATGTATTGGCTGTGCTAGGCATACATGGGCATGGGAAGGGTTTTCTTGCCTGAACTGAACATCTACAAAAGGCTAAAGTGGTAAACTTCATGTTTGTGTATCTTACTGCAATAAAAAGTCAATCATAAAAATAGAAGAATTCGTCTGAAGCTTTTACTCTCATCCACATGGAAGACCAGAGCCTAGGTGGCTTTGGGTGGCAGGGGCAAGATGGGACACAAACTGGCATGAGGGCTGAGGTTGTAGCTCAGTGGTAGAGGTTGTAGCTCAGTGGTAGAGTGCTTGCCTAGCATGTGCGAAGCACTGGTTTGATCCTCAGCACCACACAAACAAATAAACAACAACAACAAAAACAAAACTGGCATGGTTCCTTCCTTGGGACAAGGCTGATCAGGTGTATTTGTGGATTACGGGTCATATAACTCACTTTTCCATGCTCAGGTGATACACAGAGGTGTCTACAGCAAAATAACATTCTTAGAACTTCACAAGGAGTAAGGGACACAACTGTTCTGACCTTGAAGATGAAGATACACCTTCTAGGAGAGCTGGGGAGGAACTCAGGGTTCTTTCTGAGATGTGTCTACCTGACTCCTCCAAGGGTTATTGATTAGGTGACAGAGATCTCAGGGGCCACCTTAACTTATCCCAGTGGTAATGTCCTGCTGGGAGCCCAGCTGGCTGTACTTTCTGGATGGCAGTGAACCCTGCACCGGACCCCAGGAAACACAGATAGAAGCCCTCAGCCTGGGCTGCTGCTCTGATCTACATAAGCATTACTATATTGTTCTGTGGCTGGCAGATCCCCAAGGCCCCAACTCCTGGGCACTGAACCATCAGAATTGAGCTGATGCAATGACCCCATATCTTCTAGGAAGAAGGGTGCTCTCCATCCCACCTTCCATGGATGTGTTTTCTGCTGTGGGATGAAAGGCCCTAGAACATTCCCACTCCCTTATTCAGGCCCTGTGGCCAGGACAGATTAGAGATCTGAATGGCTATGACAGGCTGTCAGATGGGTCTTGGGCTCAAGCATCAGACTCTGGCCAGGAGAAAATGGAGATTCTAATAGAAATGAGCTCATGACCTTCACCTCTTTCCCATCTTGTGGGTGTGACTGAGTTCACTCTCATAGATCTCTTTCATTTGGCACTTCCTTGACCAAATCCTTCAACCAACCCTGTTGATTCCACTTGACTTTTAAAGCCCTTTTTTTAGCTTGGCCTCCAACTACCAAGTACTTAGTTTTATTTCTTCTATCCTCTCCTCTCTTACAGAGCAGCTAATGATCATAGTGATAATAATAAACATATCTTTGCAGCAATGTCCATACCAAACTTCTTCTGTGGTCAGGGATCACCCTCTCCATGTTTATAGATGACTCAGAGGTGTTAAACCTCTTGCTTAAAGTCATACAGTCAAGAAGTGTTAGAAGCACAACTCAAATCTAGGCTTTTGTCTTTCAAATCCTTTGCTTTGCTACTGTATTAACGGTCTGGGGAACAACCCAGAGGTTACCAAGGTTTCAGCCTGTGACACAAATGTTTACTTGCTGGGCCTGAGATGATAGGGAGAAGAGTCTTTTTATCAATCAGTATCAATTAAAGCACTGTATAAGTCAATAAACACTTTTCCAACACGTAATGTGCACAACATAAAGATGGTTAATTTCCCTAGATTCATGTTTCCCTTCCCCTGTGAAGAGATGAAGTTGAAAAGCAGTTGCCAAGCCATCAACTACATTTTCCAACATCTAAACTGGACCATGTGATGGTTATTGGATGAAGGAAGGAGTATTATTTACCACATCTAAGCCTGGTCCTTAAACACCCACCTTGCTATTTTCTACATCAGCTTTTCTCTGAGAGAATTAGGCACTACAAAATGGTTTGAATGGCTGTTTTCTTGATTTCTCAAGAGTGATACATCCTTTGGGCAATTCTAAAAGCTTAGGAAAGAAGTTGAGTCACTACATACAGTGTGACTTAAAGCCTAGAGCTCTGTTACCTTCGAACTGGTTTCAGATGGGCTGCTTCCATTTGTCTCCCCTCATCTGTTAGCCACATGTCAATCCTGAGTGACTTGGGGAACCACTTGCTGAAGATGGTAAAGTCTATGTCAGTTTGGGTCCCTATCATACTCCTCATTCCAGGGGGCAGGACTTGATGTGAACAAGAAATAATATATTTGAAATTTATCAAGCCCCTTTCATTTTGTGGTTTATATCAGCACCAAATTTATCTTAAATTATTACAGGGGTAGAAAGTTCCAAGCCAGGTAGGAGAACTTGGAGTCTTTTGGGAGAGGTTCCAGCTGACCCACCTTCCCCATGGCCTGGGGAAAGTCTTGTGGGTCTCTTTGTGGAACTAAGAGGGGTGGGCCTCCAGATTCAGGCAACAGCGTGAGACACAGTGGAAGCTCCCATGTGGGAATAGCTAAGCAAGAAACAGAATTTATTTGTAAGATGGACCAGCAGCTCCTAACTGTTCAAGGGTTTAACAATCAATCAAGGAAGTAGAAGAATATGATGATATGAGGCCTGTCACCTTGGATTCAGCAGCATGGTCCAGGAGCCTTCATCCTTAGCTGGCAGTAGTGGAACTCACTTTGAGAACTGCCATGGTAGGGACATGTGCTCCATCACACCTGGAAGTGTTTTACATGGAGCACACCTGGATGGTTTTTTTACATGTGACTGTCCCAGCCTCCCAATGCTTTAATTCTAGTAGAGAAGCTCTCAGCATCATACAAGACTGAGGGGTAGAATTCAGACAGAGAGTGACTTATTTAAAATCAGAGTTAAGCCCATCTCTGAGGCCCACCTTTGAGTAGGGGGAGGGAGTGGGGAGTGTCTTGGGGGAAGGAGCACACTGGGCACTTGGCCTTTCTGCCCACTCTACTGCTAATCAGCCCTTCCCGGACTTGCCTGTCATGACCTTCAGTTCATTTTCCTGTCCTGTTCTCCAACACCCACTTCTCTGAATCCTGTCCTTTTCAGTTTCTCAGCTCTAGGAAAGCAGTCCTTAACTTCTGAGCCTCTTTCTAATAATGAGGAAGAGCTTGATCCTTAACACACTCTCCCCCACACCAAGGACCCAACAGGAACAAGAGGCAAAATTTCTAGCAGGGTGCAGATCTGATGCCTACACCCATCTTGCCCTTAGCCAAAGAGAATGGAGGTTACACAGGCGGGTCCACACTAAGACAATGTGTGTTTGTCCAATCAATCCAACCTGCATAAAAAGGAACAGGTCCTAAATTTTAACTGACTCCTCCCACTCTGCAACAGGGTATTAATATCCCACCTGAGGAATGCTCCTCTCTATGCTTAGTGCTCACTGAGTAAAGCTGACACCCCCCCCCCCCGCACCTCTCCAGGAGTGTAACTCTCTGGGCCCAGTCCTCCACATTCGAGAGGGCTCCCCACACTCCAGACTTGGTCCTGGCGGGGCAGCCCCCGCATTCATAAATACACATTGTGAAAGCTCCAAAAGCCCAACAGTAAAGACAGAGAACAGCGGAGAGAGTTGAGCTCAGGGCAACTTAGCTTGGCACAATAGGCACATGCAAATTATCCTGGTGCGGTGGCCACTCCAACTGAGCCCGCCGGGGCATTCACACCCCACCCCTCCAGTGTGCGCGTCCCCTCTCCACGCGATTTCTTACCGGAGCCATGCCTCTGGCGCAGAAGGACAGCCTGGCCCAGTGGTGGCGACGCTGACGAAGCAGCCGCAGCAGATGCGACGGTAGTGGTGGCTGTGTGGGCTGCGGAGGCGGCAGCGGATTCTGGAACTCCGGGTCCAGAAACTGCAGGGGGACTCCCGGGTGGTGAGCTCTTGTCGCCTCGGCCAGGTTCAGAAGTGGTGCGGCCCGTGGCGCCCGCGTTGTTGGTGTTGGCGGCGCTGGGGGATCCGTGGCGGCGTGGGCCGCTGCTCTGGATATGGGACACGGCCTCAGCAGCCTGCATGTTGGGCGGTGCGAAGCGCGAGAGCACGCGTAGCAACGCCTGGGCCTTGTGCTCCTGCGTGTCGTCGTCGCTGTAGTCTGACACGCGGCACTCGTATACGCCCTCATCCTGCAGTCGCACGGCCGAGAGCCGAAGCCGGTGCGAGATGTCATTACCCTGGACACGCACGGTCTGCAAAAGAGTGGGGTTAGAGGCCTGTCTGGGGAAGTCCCAAACCTGCTCTTCTTACTGGTGCTGCTATCGAGTCTCCTTGCCAGAGCATCCAATACTTCCTTGACCCGGGAATGCCCGCCATCAGAGTCTGGCTTTCCTTTCAATCCATATCTCCCCAGTGGCATGAGGCTCCCAACTCCGTTTGGAGGGCCTTGTTGCTATGTCCATTGAGTCATCAGGCTCCCAGGTCCCCAACTCCTCTTCTTGAACCCCCTGCTCCGTTCCCACACACCTTGTCTTCCCCTAGCTTTTGCTTCAGAATAGCAATCATTCTCTCCTTCCTTCCTCCTGCACCTTCAAGAAAGAAGACTGGGTCTCCTGATCGCTAACCGTCCACGTCTTTACTGCTGCAGGTGCTCCAACCAACCGCATCAGCTCTGAGGCATCGCCTTAAGTCTAGCCCACTACTCAGACCCGCATTCACGCTCCCTTTTATCTGGAGTTGGGAGGGCCTGGGTAGAGTCTTAGGGAAAGCCTCGGTGCCTACTGTGATCCCCGCCCGTCGCAGCTAACCCTGGCTCTCTCAAGGAGGTAGGAGACCCTGAGGCTGCTGCCTGACTCTCTGGACTCCAGGTACGAACCCGCCTTTCCGCGAGGGCGCCTGAAGCTGGCGACAAAGCGCTCCTCCCTGCGGCCTGGTGGAGTCCTCGGGAAGGAACCGCTCAGAGGCACTCACCAAACACCCAGGGAACCCTCACCTCTGAACCGAGCCCACGGGGAGGCTCTCGCTGTCTTCAGGCCCAGCTACTTCCACGCTCCGACTGCGGAAGCTCGGGCGCTTCTCCCAGCTTTACGAACCCCAGGACCCCGACCCCGCGCAGCTGGGCAAGAATACCGGTCACCCTGCCCCCAACAATACTGCGCTCAGGCGGAGGGCAGGGCTGCAGCGGCGGGCGCTGCCGGGCCGCGGGGCCTGTGTGCTGGGCGGAGCAGAGAGGGGTGGGAAAAGGAGCACTGGTCTTGGCGAGGGCAGGCAGCCGCGGGGTCGCGGTGCTGGGAGAAATGACAGCAGAAGAAAAGCCAGCAGAGGCCCAAGAGGGCTAAGAGCGCGGTCCGGAGGAAGGAGAGTTTTACAGGTGAGAGCCTAGCCGACTTGGGAGACTCAGGCCTTGGACCCTTGATTTACACAAAAGAGAACCGATCCTGCTACCAGCGACAGATGGCGCCCAGACACGCCAAGCGGCCGACAATGCAAAGCTGCGAGTGCGGCTGTACACCGCGCGGCTGCCTAGACTTTCTAAAGGGGAGGGAGCTGCGGGGCGCGAAGCGGCCAGAAGGGGTCTCCCGCGGCCCATGCTGGGCTCCACACTTACGCTGATTTTAGTTGCATCCTTATTTGTTACCTAAAATGCAAAGGGAGAGACACATTAGGCTGTTGGCATTCAGGCTCGGGAAACTCAGATCTGCCTTTGGCCGAGGGACCTTCCACGCTCAGGCTGCGACCCGAAACTGCCTGGGGTATGGCGAGGGTTGAGGGCATGGAGGACGTCGGAATTTCCGGCAGTTTGACTGGAAGAAAGCTGGGTTTAGAGCTAACATGGTGCCTGTCAAGGAGTGGCTGTCCTAGCACACACCTGCCGGCTGAAGAGGGGAGAATGCATTGCTAGGAAGGCCCATGTCCCTCCTCCGGAGCATCCTCTTTCCCTTCTCTCTTAATTTGGAACCGTGAAAAATTCAATGGAGGGGCTGGCCGGGCTGTCTGGACAGGACCCAGTGAGAGACATGAATAACTTTGGGAGGGAACCTGGGGAGAATGCAGGTATGTGTGTAAGGTGTGTGTGTGTGTGTGTGTGTTGGAGCGCTTTTAAGAGAGTGGGTTATGAGGCAGAAGGGCAGCCTGAGTCGGTTTGCAGCCACAGGAAGGCAATCCCTCTGATCCTGTGGAGGCTCTAGAGGTGACCTGCTGGCTTCCCCAAATACGGTTTTCTGTTGGCCTCTGGAACGCAGCCCGGAGGAGCTTAACTCATTGGCCCTGTGCCCTGGGGACCTCGGAGTGGCAGAGGGCAAGGAGAGCCTGGTGGAACCATAGTGGTCTTCCCTCACCAGCCAGCACCTATCGAATGCTCGACCCTCATCAAGAAGAGCAGGCCAACTGGACCAGGCGTGGCTTCTTAGGGGCTGGGAGGGATTAGAATTCCAGGAGGTTGCAGGAAAAGGGAAATTATCAAAAGAATTGATAGGGTTTTGAGTTAACTGTTGACTTCGAAGATGTAGTGGGAGATGGGTTGCGTGACAGGGCGGCACACTGAGTCCATGAACCCTGTTGCCTTCTTCCAGGGGTTAACTCTCCGCTGCCCTAGCCCTGAGACCCAGGAGCTCCATTGACGCGTGGGTGGCGGGGTACCTTGCTCCGAGAGCCTGGCACGCTCAGCGCCAGCTCGTGTAGCAGCTCCCGGGGAGGCTCTTTGAGATACCACCACTGAATTTCCAGCGAATACGATGTGGCTCCGCTGGCCCGGAACGCGCAGGGCATTTCGATGTCGTCTCCCTCCCGTACTGTCACATCTTTGGGGACTTCGGTGAATGTAGCTGGGGGCGGGGGGAGAGAGAGGCGTGACCAGTTGTAGGGCGGGGGCTTGGGGCAACCCGAGGCGAGGCGGTAGGTTCCCCCGCTCGCTCACTGGCCTTGGGCTCCCCACCCCCCAGTTACTTCGTGGCCCACGGCCGGAGGCGCTAGCAAAGTTCAGTCCAGCAGCTGCAGGGCGGCAGCAGGGACTGGCCGCCGGCCGCAGGCTGCTTCGCTCCAGATCCGGTGGGACGGCAGGGGCGGTTCACGCTTCTCGCCAGCTCTGGGCCGCACCATCAGAGCCAGGCTGGGTGCGTTAACTCTCGCTCCCCGCAGGCCTCCTCTCAGTAGCCGGATCCCGGCCGGACTCGGAACGACTCCCGCGCGGACGCCGCGGTTGCCGCGACCCTTCGCTGCTTTCCTCCCCCTACCCCTCCGGGCCCAGACTGCACACAGGGATTACTGGAGACCGTGAATGCTTCCCCTTTTCTTCCTCTTTCTCCTTCATGGCAGCCGGGGAAGGCTGGCTCCGGTGGACCGAGCAAAGAATTCCCCGAGCCCACCGCGGCAGCGAAGTTCCCGCGCTCACCGTTGGCCACGAAGAGCAGCAGGGCGTGCAGCAGCAAAGGCGGCAGGTATCCGAGGGCACCGAGCCGGTTCCGCTGTTCCATCTCCCGCAGGGGGCGCGGCGGCGGCGGGGGCCCGGGCGCGG